AGAATTGTTGTTGGACACATTCCTGATTTTGCAGTTCCAGGACTGATGTATGCTTACCCTACAATTCCTCTGATTCCTAGGATATTCAGAAAGATCAGACAAGCTGCTGCCATAGTCATATCGATAGTTCTTGCCCAGCTGAGGTAGTTTTGGTACCCTGGTTGATGCTCTTAATAATTTGTCTACTAAAATCCTTCTCTCTTCTTCTGGACTTAATATCACAAGACAACAGGAACATCTTGTATCTGAATCCATCCTCCCTCAACCTCAAAGACTGGCTGCTGGATTGAAGTAAAACATAGAAAGATCATGTTCCTCTGATGTCCAAAACAGTTTGGGAAGTAGAAAAGATTCCATCAAACAAACCTATGCTGCTAAATGGAAGAGATTTAAGATTTGGTGTGAACAGCATTAGCTACAACTGTTGACTCTCTAATTTCTACTATTTTTGACCATTTACTGTCCCTGAAAAGCTCTGGATCGTTGATTAGCTCTATTAGTATGCACCTGCCATTTCTGCATTCCACCCTCCTATTAAAAGCTACACAGTTTCCTCCTCTGCCCCTCCACACTATGGTTAAAATCTTTAAGAGTCTGATTTATGTTTTTTCTATCAATAAGCAACCCTGCTCCCCATGGGATCTCATTGTGGTTTTGGCAGGATAATTGGGCCCTCCATTTGAATCCCTGGCAACCTACTTTTTATTGCAATTATTTATGAAAACTTCCTTTTTGGTAGCAATTACTAAAAGGATTGGGAAAATAGTTTCCTGGCAACACCTCCCTATACTGTATTCCATAGGGATAAAGTGTCATTCAGACCCCATCCCAAATTCTTACCAAAAGTACTTAGAGTTCTGTTTAAACCAAATGATCCATCTACCAATATTCTTCCCTAAACCACACGGGGAGACTAAGCTGCATACTTTAGATGTTCACAGGGCCCTGTCCTTTTATTTGCAGAAGACCAAATCATTTAGATCTTCCTCTAAATTATTTACAGCATTTGATTACAGAATGAGGTCTCTGGGCTGATACCACCAGATCCTATCCATGTGGATTTAGGGTTGTATTAAGAGTGTGGTCAGGCTTCTCCGTGTGGGAGCCCTGAGACAGTGCTTAGACAGGCATGAAGTCAGGTAGGAGGACTGATGGGGAACAGCATAGGCTCCTGTGGGGGAAGTCCTGAGCTAGGGCCTACAAGGAGCAGGAAGAACCCTAGGGGAAGCTGCCAGAGTCCCTGGGGAAGGAAGACAGTGAGGGGAAAACCTACTAAGATGCAACAAAGGAGGAGCAGGAGCAGGTTCCTGTGGGAGAGGCCCTGAGGAAGGGTCACTAAAAACACTTGAGTGGAGCCCAAGAGGGGCAGAAGAGTTGTTAGTTAAGCAGAGAAGGGAGATGTCAGAGATCTGAGAACCAAAGGGAGGCTATGTTAAGTGCAAGCTGCAGGGAAGTAGCACAAGGCGGCTTAGAGAAAGGAGCAGCCCAGGGAAACAGCAGCATGTCTGAAGAAGCAGACCTAGTAGCTTAATACAGGGTCCCTGGGCTGAAATCTAGAGTAGAAGGTGGGCCTGGGTTCCCCTACCAGCCCCTCAGGAAGGGGCATGGAAGACCAACTGCAGGAGGAAATTAGGCTCCTGGGAGGCAGGGCCTAAGGAAGGGCCAGTAACGATACTTCAGCAAGCAACAGAGGAAGAACTCTGTAGAAGCAGACTGGCCTCCTGTGGAGGAGATCCTGACGGAGGGCCAGTAAGCAGGAGTGGCGCCAGGGTTTTTGCTGCCCTAGGCGGCAGCGCTCCTCCTCTGAGCATTCAGGGGGCCTGGGGTCTTCGGCGCCGGGGGTCCTTCCGCTCCGGGTCTTTGGCGGAAATTCGGCGGCGGGTCCTTCACTCGCTCCAGGACCCGCTGCTGAATTTCCGCTGAAGACCCGGAGCGGAAGGACCCCCCGCCGCCGAATTTCTGCCGAGGGCGGCAAAATGCCGCCCCCCAAATCCTGCTGCCCTAGGTGACCGCCTAGGGTCGCCTAGTGGAAGCGCTGGCCCTGCCAGTAAGAATACTTCAGTGGAGCCCGACAAGGGGTGGAAGAATTATTATTTGGATGGTTTAGCTTGGACTTTCAGTTGAACCTTTTGTTCTCCTGAAAGGGGGCAGAAATGTATGTGACTTGTCTGGAGGGCCAAGCCATAGAAGACCCAGCAAGATGCAGGCAGCCAGCAGGAGTTGCTGGAGATGAGGACCCTTTGCAGCATCACACCCTGACACAAGGGGTTGCTATGAGTGGTGAGTGCAGTTCCTTACACAATCTCAGACAGCTGCAAAACAGCTACTTGGTGTTCAATCCATGCTTTCACTAAACACTACTTCTTGGGGGAAGCATCCAGGTCTGATGCTTCTTTGGCAGAGCTGCACAGCAAACTTTATTTAAGCAGACTCTGAGCACCTACTGCCGTCACATCAAGTCATTGCTTGTGAGTCACCAAGAGTGTAATATATATACACACGCACTAGAGGATGAAAGAAAAATTATTTACCTTATAATAACCAAAGTTCTTTGAGATGTAATGTCGATATGTATTCCACAACCTGCTCTCCATCCCCATTACCACAGAGTTCTTTCATATCTGAATTCTGCAGTAGCAAAGGAACTGAATGGTGGTTAAGCCTGCTCTGCTCTATGTGCACTTGGTACTGGAGCACAAGGACACTTAGTGTACATGCCTTGCCCAAGCAGACACTGCTAGCCAAAAGACTCTGATCTCAAGCACATGGGGTGCATGCGCACCAAGAGTAGAATACATATGCACAACAGATCTTGAAGAACTCCAGTTACTGTAAGGTAAGTACCTTTTCTTAATCGTGATGAAAGGTGCTGAAGCATGAATAAGAGTTTCAGAAAAGGTGTGGGCAGTGTCTGGGGATGAGAGGCAGAATTATAGAGTTGAGCAATAAAGGGAGGTAGAGGAAAGTTCAGAGTCAAGTTTGGGTTGAGGTATAAACATAAGATTTGAATTAAACAAGAAGATAGACATGACGGAGTTTCAGTTTAGGTTTTGGTTTTTTTAAAGGGCCAGGTTTTGTACCCCCCCTACTAATAATGTATAGTACCTTGCTCCACAAATAATCCCACTGATTCCAACTGTCACTCTGAGATAGAATGGCAAAATCTGGCCTTAATTAGTAGATTATCAGTTTTGGATATGTTGTGTGGCTATAGTGGAATCATAGTAGCTGATGAGGTTGAGAATGGCAGAAAGTGAAGAAAGATTTTTCACCATTTGCCCCTGTCTTTCACATTAGTATCTGATTACCTAGATGTCATGGAATAACAGTAGGACATACGCTTTTCATCTTCAAGGCACTCTACAAATAGCAACTAGTTATTCCTCAGGATACCCCTTTCAGAAAAGTGCATAAATGTTATCCCTATATCACAGATAGTGAAACTGTGGTAGAGAAATTAAATCACGTGACAAGGCCACTTGTCAGACTTGGAACTAGAAATCAATATGTCTTGGTTTCCCGTCCCATTTTCAGACTACTAATCCATGCACCCCATCAAACCCAAAGCCTTCAAAAAGCAGAATGTGAAAGTACCTGCAAGAACAAACACAGTTTCAAATATCTGTTTCAGAAACCTGAAGTTTCATCAGCATGTTATGTAATAGAATACTTAAAAACCCAGTTTTGTTACTTGATTCTCTGCACTTTTTATAGATACTTACCACTGCAAAGTGCCTCATACCTTTTAAATTTGATATGAGAACAATCCAAATTGATGACACAAATGGAGAGTCAGCAAAGCACACATGGAAAAATCAGTGAAATCCTCTTGGAAGTTTAAGTACACATGTTCAGACATACACACACATACCTATTCAGGACATGGCACCCTCAGGAATGGAATTGGCAGCACTATTCTGTATACCCTCAAGCACTATCATATTGTAAGGGAAAATATTGTTTAAAAACCAACTGGCACTACAGTCACTGCATTAATTACCAACGCTGCATGTTTCTTTGAACTGAAATTCAACAGGAGCTAGCTATTCTGGGACACACTTCATTTGCCCGATTGTATTTTCATACACACCCAGTGGGTTTTTGTCTTGTTTTGAATCTGCCTGTAAAGAAAGAATGTTCATTGTGATCTGTATATCGGAAGGAAACCTCGGGTGAATGATCCATATAGTAAGGACTAGATCAAGCATTAGTAAGGGTGTGTGTGCGTGAGAGAGAGAAGGGGACTCGTAGGAGAATATACTATAGGGCACAATCCTGTATTAGCTGGGAGGGGTGGATTAGCTGATTTAAGAGAGATGGAAAGAATGGGGGAGAAAAAAGTCCCTTGATCATGCAAGGATAAAGCTCCCACGGAACACACACACACACACACAATCTCTCTCTCTCTCTCTCTTTCTCCCTTCCTCTTCCCTTTATAATATCCACATCCCAGCTTTCCTGCCTCCCTCAGGAAGTCCTGACGGCCAGAATAACCCAGGCTCGTTGAAATGATCATTAGGAAAACAACAATAGCTGGTGTGATACTGGCTCAGGCGGCTGCCGCTGCTGTAAGGAATTGAACTGTCATCTATGTAAATACAGCTCGGCCGGAGTCACATGTGCAGCAAGGGGCATTGTTGGCAAAGAAGAGAGGAGGAGGAGGCGAGGGGGAAGAGAGCAGAGCAGGTCTGAACAATAGAGAGAGGAGAGGGGGTTGGCAGAGAGCCTGCTGTTGCTGGAGGTGTTGGGGGGCGGGAGGGGACTGCAAACCTCACACGACTGGCAGGCAGTAGGAGCAGCTGCTGCTAAGCCCAGGGAGCAGCAGCCCCAGCAGAGCTTACCAGACACCATGGAAGGGATGATCCCGGCGGTGCACGGCTGGGCTAGCTGCTGAAAGCGCCTCTATCCATCCCTCCCTCTTTCTCTCTTCCTTTGCTTCTCCTCCTCCCTAACTCACTGGATATTAGCAGCAGCCGGGCTCGCCTCTTCTTTCCCCAGCCATGAATCCCGCAGAAGGGGCAGCGGAGGAAGGCGCTGTCCCCGATTCCGAGGTGGATGCTTTTTTCCGAACAGGTAAGGAAGGAATGGGGAAGGGGAGAAGAAGGAGGGGAAGGGGCTGCCATCGCCTGGGCGAGAATGGGATGCGAGAAAGGGGTTGTTTTGCATTGGCACCATCCTGGGGTGGGAAGCCACAAGGGACTGGTTGACTTGCTTTGTTTGGGGGTGCATGGACAGGGTTGGGGTCCTCTGGGTGAAGAGAACCCCGCTGATCTTCTCCTCCTCCTGTTTATATTTTGTTCATTGTCTCCTTCCTCTCCGCCCCCACCAAAAAAGACTTTAGTCTCACGGCTGGTGTGAGAGATATACACAGCCACTAAAGGAGAAGCCCCTTCTCTGGGCAAAGATGCTTTTGTGTTGGGGTTGTTTGCACAAGCACTTAACGAATTGACCGAGGATTGGAAACTGTTGGTTGTCAGTTTCAGAAGAGAAACCAGATTTATCCCCCCGCTTCTTGTTCCGTTTCCATTTGTTCCTTGGCTTGCTAGGAAATGATGCTGCTCTTCGCTTGTTACACAGGAATGGGGCGATCTTAGATCACTTTTTAAATGCAAGAGGGGAGGGATTACATCTCCTCCCAGTTCTCGCACGGTACAAGATCTTAACATTGCAGGAAATTTATCGTTGCTCTCTCCCTTTCTCCTCTGAGATTGGAAATACACAAAAGCATCTCCAAGATGTTCATTGATGGCTTATGAGAGCTACACATACAAAAAGACATGGCATTGGGTCCCTAAACACGCCTTTAGTTTGGGTTATAGGTTGGGTCAGGTGATGGAGCCAGAGGCTCCGATTTTAACCATCCTTATGCACATTGTCCATAATGTGTAATACCGCTTCCTGGATCACTCCTCTGATCAGAATGGAGAATTAGGGGTTAGCAAGCTGTGGGGAAAGGTCAATAAATAATAATCACTGTTAATTATTTTGAAGAGGAGTTTGCTTTCTTCCCTCCCTCAGCCTACTAAATTTGTACTTTCACTTGAAAACTATAAATATATTATATGCACAAGTACCCCCTTCCATCTCAAACAACCCTTGCAATCCTTTAAAAAAGGCTTTGTTAACCCAGTGCCATCAGTCATGTGTACTGTGGCAGTGGTACTGGGCATTAGGGACACTAGAAGTCAACACAGGTCATTACTGGTGGGAAAACTGGTGAGCATATTTGCTTGGGTATCTCATTCCTCCTGAGATGGACTTTGTTAGCAGGATCCAGAAGGTCAGGATCAAGAACAAATCCAATTGTATTTCAGTGAGTAGCGTGAGAAATAAATGTCCTTCTGTTTTAGAGGACAATACTATAACAGAGCATAAGATTAAATGTGACTCTGCTTCTTAAAAGAACATTTGGGCCAAATTCTCTAAGAAATGTGTATACACTAGATACCCACATAAAGTATTATTAGTTTGATGGCCCTTATCTTTATGTGGGATCAAAGCCCCAAGTGAAACAATTTATGGGATTCCTTCTGATTCTGTAGGCCGAACCTTAAAGCATTACATGCTACTTGGTAAATTTTTAATTAAAAATTGCAAAGGATGAAACACTCACTTCATAAGGGGATTGACCCTGGTAGTCTGGATTTGACATTTATTGCCACAGCTGTTTGTCAAGGCTTTACTTTTCAGCTGCCTTTTCCCTTCTACCTGATCATTAGTTATGCAGAGAGCTTCAGGCTCCAGTTACAACAAAACAATCATGTAATCACCAAAACTTTAAAGAAGTTCATTCCTGCAGATCTGCTACAATTATGGTGGACTGAACCCTGTTCATGTGAAAATGCTTTGATCTAGAGGATAACTATAATAAGGTCTGACTGTGCATATCTTGTGATCCACAACCCATTAAGCCAATGGATATTTGCCTCTTGATACCCTGCATGGCTACGAGCAAAGCATTTATAGATTTCCCATACTCCGGTGGTATAAGTGTTCTTGGGCTATTGAAGATTTCTGGAATGCACTTTAAAAAAATTAGCATTTGTCTTGGTAAAAATTTATATTGCTTCAGAAATCTCCCCCTTAAAAGCTTAAATCATTGCCTAATGGAACTTAATTCTCAACATAAGAAAAGATTACAACATTGAAGTCAAAGGGACTGTTCATATTTGTGTCTAGTTTGTAAAAGAAATCATACTAAATAAGAAAAGAACACTCAAAAAGAATCCCATGATCAAACATTTTCCTATTCTGTGTCCTCCTCCAGAAATTCTCTGCCTAAGGAATCATGAATATAATCTTGTTAGGTGTCCTATGCGTTTAATTTAAAGGGTTCCTGGGAGGGTTTTTGGCATTCCCATTTACTCAAGTAAGTAAATAGTTTGAATCTGAAGGCTTCTATTCCATTGTGTGTCCTCTCATACACAAAACACTGACACTGTTTAAAAAGAAATTGTTTACTAGTTCACAGACATGAATGAGCCTCATAGTTATATCAGGCATGTTTTAAAATTAATACAAATATAAAAACATAAGAACGGCCATACTGGGTCAGACCAAAGGTCCATCTAGCCCAGTATCCTGTCTTCTGACAGTGGCCAATGCCAGGTGCCCCAGAAGGAATGTACAGAACAGGTAATCATCAAGTGATCCATCTTGTCGCTCATTCCCAGCTTTTGGCAAACAGAGCCTAGGGACACCATCTCTGTCCATCCTGGCTAATAGCCATTGATGGACCTGATAAACAGAAATCAAGGCATCTGGTGGTGGGCCTAACCTTAGTGAAATTGGTTAATTTTTATTGGAATAACCTACTTTTCTATGGATGCTTGCTTGTCCTATTTGGTTCTCTGCTTTGTGTGCTGATATTGTGACTGCCTAGAGTTGCTGTTGATGTCAGTCTTAATGGATGCTAGAGAAAACAGCTGATGAGGTGTATTCAGGGAGAGAGTTTAGATAGAACACTTGTGAACAAACTGAGAACCTGACCCTTCCAGTTCCCTCTCAGGCAGAATTCCCACATAAGTCAACGGGAGTGTTGCCTGAGACAGGACTGTGAGATCAGATCCAGTATTACCCTTGTCTGACTTTTTGTTGTTGTCTTTTGTTAAGTGTTTAGTGCTATATAGATATGAATTTCTAGTACTTATGCAGATTTTATAAAAGACAATTTCTTAGTGTCTTGGTGCATTCATGACAATTAAAACAATACTTTTTTAACATTAGGAATCTCAGTTATGCAAACCCTTCATATACAAGACTACCACTCAAAGATTCTGCCAAAAATTGGCTATAAAAAGGGCACTCACCAAATTGTAGCTATCACAGGAAATAGCAAAAACTCAGAAGGCAGCGTTCCCAACGAAAACTCAGGGTCCTGACACTCTTCTCCATCAATATATCTCAGTCAAAAGCTTTAGTAACAGATGAGCTTTACACCGAGCATCGAAGGTCAGTAAACTCAGCTCTCTTGGACCAATAGAGGAAGCATATGCCAGAGATGAAGGCCCTTCACAGACAAATGTTTTAGCAAGAGCACCCAGCAATTCAAATGTAGGGTCTGTTATCAATGGCAATGATGATAACAGATCTGTAAGCTGTAAGTGGAAAACAAAATCAAATTAATCAATCCAAAGTAATAAGTGCTGGGCCTGATTTTGATCTCATACTGGTGTGAAACAGGGATAACTTGTTTGAAGTCAATGGACATACACCAGTATAACTGAGATCAGAATCCTGTCAAATATCTCTAAAGAAATGTGTGGCAGAGACTATTCTGATTTTAGTTACCACGGTGTATAAAAAGAGTAATTTCATTTACTTCAGTGAGATTATATTTGTGTAACTGAAATAAAAATTCGTAAATTCATAGACTTTACAGCCAGAAGGGATCATTATAATAATTTAGCCTGACCTCTGACTTCATACAGGCCATAGAACCAAAAGCAATAATTTCCACGTCAAGCCCAGAACTTCTGTTTGCGCTATAGCAATTCTTTGTGAAAGAATCTGGCCCTATGCCTTTATATACTTTATTAAGTTTTGGAGTTTTGATTTCTATTTCGTGACAAAGATTGAAAGAATAAAATGTTGCATATGTTCTTAAGAAAAAGTGTCACTGGTTTATTTCATATCAGCAAGTTAAATATGTACTGAGTTTTCCAGTTTTTAATGTTGTGTGGGACTGAATCCGAATGACTTTGTTGCTTAGAGAATGAATAGAGTAACGGAAGTCATGTTGTAAAGCCATGGTTGGAATGTCAGAACTTTCCCTGGATGTATGAGGACATATAAGAAAGGCTTTGTCTTTGTGCCTGTGTTCTAAGAGTTTCTATTACACTTTGGAAGCTAGGGTAAAACAGACAACAAAAATTTGCCAAACCTTAAATATTTATAGAGGTAAACTGATAGAAGAATCCAGCAAACCAGTGATTTCTTGAAAGAGCAATCATTAATACTTCCTGTACACAGTGGATAGGGTTTTCTTTTCTAATTCGTTTTGTGTCATCTAAATCTAACATTGTTTCTAATGTGAAGAGGCAGAATCTGTCATTGATTCCTGTGGGTGAGTTGAAAATTGATATTGTTTTTTTTTTTAGTGCAATGAATTATTCTCTTTTCCTTTTGCCTTCCACCAGCATGTTAGACTTTCACCATTGTTCATTTGTGTTCAAGTGACTGGCAGTTCTGCTACTAAATAATTTTAAAATGATTGGCAGTGGACAGGCTGTTTGATCAATAGATGTGCTTCAAATTATGTCTGCAGAAGAGTGCTCCTTGCGGCTGATGGAATCAAGTGTCTCCTAGTAGGACAGATAAATTGAATCAATCAACTTGTCTCTGGTGGTAAGGTGTACTCATGGTGTCTGACTTCCTCACCTTCCAACTTTATAATTTATAAGGTCCGTTTTGATAACGTACACTAATAAAGGAGGCTGTGATATGGAAAAGACGGTCATGTTTTGTGTTCCATTTGGAAAGGACCCCTGTTGTTTAAAGGGACAGTGACAATGTAGAAATCACACTTCTCTCTGGAGATTTTGCCCTATGGTATTACCAGGAATGTGGATTTT